TTATGTTCTAAATCCAAACCAGTACTCGTACTAATCATTTGAGTTGTACCATCAAAGTATTCCATAAATAAAGTCGAAATGAAATTCAACACAAGTCAAAAATGAGATAAAAAGGTCTTTTTGTATTTCCAAAAGATGATTACAAAAGATATTTACACAAGGGATACTTTCACAAAAAACACGAAAACGAAATAAGGAAACCTAAATCTACTTCGGGGCCACATCTTCGGCAACTGCATCTTCAGGAGCCGCATCTTCGGGAGCCTCACCCTCGGGGACTTCATCTTTATCTCCTCCACTCTCGGAGCCACTGGCCGAATCATCCTCATCAGAAAGCAAAGTGGCGGCCTTTTCTTCCAAAATCTTTGCCCTTTCAACATCGGCCGAGAGATCGAAGCCGCGAGCATGTACCTCCTCAAGGGTTTCCCTCCGGGACTGCCGCCTAGCGTGGTCAAGTGCACTTGATAGCTTAACTTCGACTGCAGAAGAGATCTCCTTTTACCGGGCATCAGCTGCTTTAGCGTCGGCTCTGTACGAAGATATAATTGCCTCAGTATCAGATTTGGCCTTGGCCAGCTCAACATCGGATTTAGATTTAAGCTCCTCGATTTCACGACCTCTAGCCAGGATCTCCTCCCTCATATTTTTAAGCTAACATTTGAGTGAAGCCAGTTGTTCCTGAAGAGTTTCTTTCTCAGAGGCAAGACTGTCCATACCTCGCCTCCACCCCAGGGTCTCGGCCTCCTTCATCTTGAGCTCCTCTCGGAGCTGCTCCACCAGCTGTCCAGCTCGCCCTATTGTTGAAACTGCAAAGTAAAAGTGTTAGTAGACTGATCGGGCAAATCCATAACAAAAACGTCCGAGGGTATATTAACTTTTCAGTAAGCTCGATTTGTTCTTGACGAGCCTTTGCCAATTCGGCTCGAAGATTGCTGATTTCCTCCTCTTTCTTGACATTAAGACCGTCCTTCTCTTCCAAGATCTTCACAAGCTCGGTCTCACATCGAGCAAAGTCAGCTCGGGACTTGGAAAATGCCTTTTTATGAAGCATCACAACCTTCACAAAAAGGGGAAAAGTTAGACTCAGAACAGCAAGGACAAAGCGCAGGCGTAATTCTAAAGGAGAGAAAACTCACTTGTTTGAAGAGCCGACAAGCCTCATCGAAGATGAAAAAAACATCTAGGTCGGGGTCATCTTCAATCCCTGCAAGGCATTCTCAAAAGATACCATGCCCTTCGTGGCTCGCCCTCACATCAGAAGGTCTCATGTTTTGAGCATCTCGGATTTTCCCCTCGGAGAACCCGGGACCAGGCGGTGAGTCATCCACATTGATTACCCCAAGTGATCCACTCGGGGCATTCTCTTCTATTTGAAGGGGCTCAGGATCGGGCCCCTCGGGCTCACCCTCCAAATGACCTCCAAGACGAGGTGCCCTCTTGCTGCCCAATGGCTCGGGGACTTTGCTTGAACTCCCCTCGGAGATTTCTTCGGTTCTAGGATGAATCGCGTCTGCCGCCACCGGTTCGGCACTCTTCGAAGCACCTGCGCTTCCTCTCCTACGAGCTACCAACAGGCATTCGTCATCTTCTTCTTCTTCCTGGTCCCGAAGGCGTTGGGCCATGCCTGGAGATAAGGCCACAGTATCGTCCTTAGGCTTTCGAATCGTGCTTTTCTTCGGCTTAGGTTTAGTTACAGGCGACCCCCTTTTTCTCTTCTTTTCCTTTGGAGGCTTTGGGATTTCTTCTTCGCCGGCCGGAGGTGCCCGTAATAGCGTCTCCGAGGCCTGCATATAAACAAAGTAAGCATTTTACTGAGAAACACAAGTAAACAGACAAAAGAACTCACCAAGGTTTTTAGCCTCCCATCGACCCTTGGCCAGGTCACGCCAGCGCTCCGAGTATGAGGAGGTAGAGGCCAGTTTTTGGACCTAGCCTTCGAGGTCTGGGACCGCCCTAGGAAACCAAGCAATAGCTGCACCATCGGAAAGAGGTTAGGCCAATAAAAAGATAAAATCGGGGGAGAAAAAGGGAAGCAGGGTATAAACTAATCAATGATAAATATGTACTTACGTTTCATGTTCCACTCCTCAGGGAACGACATCCTATCAGCAGGAATCAAGTCGGAGGTCCTAACTTGGACAAACCGACTCATCCACCCTCTGTCTTTGTCCTCATCGATACTGGAGAAGAGAGATTTCAAGGATCGGCGTTGCAATTTTATCAAGCCACCTCGATAAAGTCGAGGACTGTACAGTCTGATCAGATGGTCGAGGGTGAAAGACATCCCCTCGACCTGACTCGAAAAGAATCTCATCAAATGAACGATTCGCCAGAATGAAGGATAGATCTGGCCAAGCGTCACTTGGTATCGTTGGCAAAAGTCAAGAATAACTGGATCTATGGGACTCAGAGCTGGAATTGCGGGGCCCAACGTGAGTGGGTAGGTATACACGCTTAAGTACCCTGCTTTATACGTGGTGATGTCCTCCTCAGGAGAAGGGATCACTATGTCTTTGTTCTCCCAGTTGCAGTCCTTTTTTACCTGCTCAAGCTCATCCTCGGTTATTAAACAGACGTATCGAGACATGGGCTCACATCGTCCTGGTGTCGATACGGGTTTTTCAATCTTGAAATCGGATGTTGTTTCACACGGCGGGGGAATACACTCCTCAATATGAGGTGGCACTACCGCTTTACTTTTGGCCGATCGAGAAGATAAAGGAGCTTTTTCTTTTTGGGAACCGATTTAGATGTCTTAGCCATTGTGATGCAGAAATTCAAGAAAATAGAGAAGGTTGATGATGAACTAAGGGCAAATAATAGAGAAGGGAGAATTCAGGAAAGTTGAAAGGGCTAATGAGATTATGAGAACAATGTGAGAATAATGTTTGCAAGATTGTGAAGTTGATCTATTTATAGAAGTCACTTAAGCGTACTGAGGAAGCCAAATAGCCGTCCGTCAGGCCCCTCCAATTAATGACTTTGGGAACCGCACAAAAAGCAACCTTTCAGTCACTTTAGCCGCTGACATCACGAGATTGGCATCAGAATCGAGGCGTCGAGCATCGAAGATCAAATCGTTTCTTATCGACCTACTCTAAGAAACGCGGGGACTATCTGTACACGGTCAAAATCATATGCCTCCGACTTATAGGCTCGAGAGTCCGTCCTAAGCCTGAGTCCGGGCAAAGTCAAGTTCGAGCCCAACGGACTAGACTCGAGATCGAAGATAGAATGCAAGGACCGGAGATAGGAGTACGAAGAGTACCGAAGCCGAGTATGCTCGGCCCCGAAATATTACCGTTATGGATTTGTAACAGAATGTGCTGGATTCCTGCCACGTCCCCAAGATCATGGTGCGAATCCCGGAATAGGATTGTACGATTCCGTACTAGGCGGTTAGACAGTTGTACCAAAAATATTCTTTACTGTAAATAGAAATATACCTTATTTAGGATTCCCCTATTATATAAAGGGGACCCCAATCATTTGTAACATCATCTAATCACTGAGAAAAGAATATACTCTCTACTTTTTTTCTACTGTTCATCAGAACTGTCATTTAGCTCTACTGCTCTTACTTTACTTTTCTTGCTTAATTTGTTCTTATTGTTCTAAACCCACCTCGAGGTCACTAAGCTCGAGGTCACTGCTGCTAAGTTATATTGGTTTGATTCACTTATTTCTTTCACTTCTACTTCATATTTCTTGATTATCAATTGGTATTGAACTAAATCACATATCTTTAAAACTACAAATCAAATTTAATATTTACTCGTATTTTCGAGGTAAACAAGTTTATCTGTGAAAGAATCCAACATCCAATCCAAAACCTTAAGGTTATTAGTGGAGTAGCCAAGACTTTTATAAACCCCATTGGAAATTCTTGCACAATCCAAGCTCGACAACCTTATAACTCAAACATCCTCCTGTATGTGTAACCTGATTTGGACGCGATTATGGATTTACAAAGGTTTGCTCTGGTATTGTGTGGAAGAATCTGAGCATTGGAAGTCCTTACCCAACTCAGACAACTATACAACTCAATATCTGGATTACCTTATGTGTTGGTATTTTGATGTGTTATTTTGATAAAGGTGACTTTCATGCGTTTTATGTGTCTCTTTCTAATTCTTGTTTTCTCAACTAGTCATAGTTGCTGGCACTTGCTTTTGCAAGTGTTTTTCGGTCTATTACTATCACTGTACTTCTAGCAACAAAAAAATAACAGAAGGGAAACAAAAGGAAAATATCAGCATGTATTTCTGTAACACATATTGCAGTTGAAGTGCGGGTAAAACCATTTTATATGACAGTTTGCAAGCTTCTCTACCCTTGTGAGTGTTTCTTATTTGATTTCGGTTTTCCTCTTCTTCTTCACTTGTCTTTCTTTTGATGTTTCTGCCAAAACTTTTCCACTACTTATCTTTCCTTTTCTTTGTTTTCTGATGCAGTCGTTGAAATTGCATGTCTTAAAGCTTACACAAAATATAGAGGCCTTGAAGTCACGGTTGGTGTGTTATCTTACCTTATCGGAGTTGATTCTTTTTTTATTTTCCACTTACCAGCTCGTTTCTTAATTATATCTAAATGTCACACGATTTGCATTGATTCAGACCAAGAGTGAGGAGATGATTCATATTCAATACTCGGATATAGTTGGTTTGCAGGTAGCTGAGACAGGAACATCTAATGCTGCAGGCGGAACCAATTATCAGTCTACTTTAGCAAGTCCTTGCACCTCTGAGGTAAAAATTAATGCATACTGATAACAGTACATTCTGTTACTTAATGTTGAAGGAGCGTGTTATGTTTCCACTTGCTTCTCATATCTTTGATGCTTGCTGCATGTGAGATCCCTTATCAGCTAAAATAAGGTATTATAACAGTAAAAGGTCACATGAAGCTAGAAGTGTGGCAACCCGGTGCACTAAGCTCCCACTATGCGCGGGGTGCGGGGAAGGGCCGGACCACAAGGGTCTATCGTAAGCAGCCTTTCCCTACATTTTTGCAAGAGGATATTTCCACTGCTCGAACCCGTGTGTATGTATGAACTCCGATGGTAGCTCAACTGTATGTTTCAACCATGTCTCTGTTTCACTACTACCATTGAGAACATATATAAGAATTCTACCAATGCCCTGAAATCTCTTGTCATCTAGAAGTACTGCAACATGTCCCTTTATGTCTACTATTTTTGGTATAGAATCGAAAGCTTTTTTCATCGTGGATATCAATTTAGGGAACGGGATCGTTCTAATTAACTTTTCGTTACCTACAATACTGAAGGCAGCAATGTCATCTCCAAATATATTTTCAAAATAAATGACTCCGTCGATACAAACATAATTGTTCAAAGAGATAATTTCAGTCCAATTGGATCTCTCTCTCCACGACTTGTCCACCCCAATAGTGAAAAGTGAGTACTTCGCCACAAGTTTCCTATCTTCATTAAAAATCATGTGTGACATCAATTCCTTATGTTTCTTGCTGGTGGGATCAAAGGAGTAAGTAGTAACTGAAAGGAAACCTTTCTCCCTTGGTTGTACTTTAGGAAGAAAGATATGTTCTTTTATGAAAGGATTGCAAATAGCAACATCTCCATCATAGTTCCATAGACAAACTAGGCCGTTGATAGATTGCATAAACTGAAGATTACGAAAACATGGCTCATCTAAATACTCGATGGGACAAGCTAAATCTTGATGTTCTTTTCTCTGGGATAAATTATATGTAACTTCTTTTTGAGTCAAAGTTACGTGACTTACAAGGAATTGTGCAATGAAACTTTTGCCATGTTCTTGAATGAATAAGGGTTCGGATATTAGAGAACAAAAGGATTTCGAAATGCATCTGAAACGCATTAGAGACTTGGCAGGAAGCCATTTTAGAATTCCAAAGACAGCCTCATTGGGAATGTATAAGTTACCATTGGCAGTAATCTTGTTCTCTTCCATGTATGTTATGCGAAATGTATGAAAGTACAGAAGTCTAGAAATATATAAAAGTGTCTTTGAGTTGGACCTAGGGTTTGTATAATTGTATATAATATTAATTAGGTTACGATAAAAGAAAAAATTAGTTCCCGTCCCCCCCCCCCCTCCCCCCCC